CACCGGAACCCGTGCAGCAGCAGCGGGGCCCTCCATGTCTTGTGCACAGCAGGGACCCCAGTCCTGGTGGAGAGCGCATCGCCACACCCTGGTGTCATCTGGCCCCCAGTGCCCTGCTAATAGCAAGTGGACTCCAGTCCGGATGCCAGGGCAAGTAGGGCAGAACCAGGCGGGGAGCAGGCTGCCAGCTGGCCTCTCGGCTTCACGTGACCTTGACTCTCCATCCTCTTCCTCCCCAAACTTGCCCCCAGGGGAGCCCAGCACGCCCACCCCCTCCAGCTGTCCCCCTCCCCACCATGACTGTGTCCCCGCACACCTTGTGGAGGGCTGCAATGGGGGAACTTCCACATCTGCAGAGAGGAAGAGAATGGCCATCTCACTGGAGAAATTCTCCTGAGTACCCCATATACCTCAGTACTGCCTCACTTTTTACCTGAGTGGGGAGGGTGCTGGGCATAGTCCCTGGGTATTCCTGGGTGTGATGCTGGTAGAGCGGGCAGGGTTCTGGGTGCAGTCCTCAGGGTGAACTGGGGACTTACAACAATGTAGGGGAGAGTCCCCGTTGATGGTGAGCACACACTGGTGCTTTGTAACAATCACTAAACAATCATTTTCCATAAAATCGGTGCTTCGCCATCAAGCTGGAGGCTGTTCTAAAGCTTCCTCCTTACAACTGGACACAGGGCCCTGCTAGACCCGACCACCTTCGAGCCCCAGGCTGGGCCTCCTGGCCGCCAGGCCTGGTCTGATCCCGTCCTGCCTCCCCACTCACATCCCTGTATCGGTCAGCTTACTGCAGTGGTGCTGTGTAACAAATCACCCTCAACTGGGTGACTTCAAAGTCTTGTATTTATGACCTCTCTGGGCCAGGCTAAGGCCAGAGCAGGCAGCTCTGCTCCCCAGAACTCACTTTGGGGCTCAGAGACAAACTTGCGGGTGAGTCCTGGGAGGCCACTGCTGTACAGGGTGCCTGTGGAGCAAAGCTATGCAGGGTGTCTGGGAGGAGGTGGTCCCCAGTAGGGGAGTCAGGCTGGGGCGCTGCCGGCCATCCCTCAGGCACCCCCAGGGTGCTGAGCTATAGGTCCCAGAGTTGACCCCAGCCGCAGGCCACCGCATAGGGCTGTGCAGGGACCCCGTTGGGGGACCAGGAAGCCCTGGCTGGAATTTGGGGGCGTTCGTCTGAGCTGACCATGCCTCACCGCTGCCTACAGAGAGTGTGCAGGGAGCAAAGAGCACAATGTGTTCACCGAGTACCAGTGGGGGCGAAGGCGCCCATGGGGCCACGTGGCGGTCGGTCCCGGGTGTCCCATGTACGCGAGAGCCAACGAGCAAGAGAGTGCACAGGCAGAGGCGGGGCTGGAGGGCAATCTTTATTTACACCACAGAGTAACAAGTGTGTGATGTGGTACAGAACACGGGACTCCGGGAGGTGGCCGCGGCGGCCGCCAGGGCACGGCCCTCGGTGACCATCCATCCACACAGAACACAACAGGATGCGGAGCCCCAAGTCAGACAGCGCGCGCTCCGAACGGGAGCGCTGGGGAGGCCCGCCCAGAGGAAACGGGGTCAGTGACAGACGCGAGCGGTGGCCGTGGCCCGAGGGGAGCCCGCGTGGGCGTCAAGTTCTAGCGTCCAGCACAGGTGGTGGAGCGTGGGGGGGGGGGCGGCGTGCGTGTGTGTGTGTGCGCGCTGCCATCCCCAGAAGCTGACAGGCAGTACCCCCGGCGGGGTGCACACACACTCCAAAAAACAAACACCTGGCTGAGTTTTCTGCTAGGAGACTGAATCAGTGTCAGCCCGGCCTCCTGGGGCGGGGACGCGGGCCCACCACGCGGCCAGACCCCGGCTCCTGCCACCCACCACCGCTAAAAGCAACGAGAAGCCCACGGGGCTGTGCAGAAAAGGGGCTCCCCGCACCCCGGGCCTCGGTCACAGGTGGCGGGCGGTGCGGTGCGCACCTGGCCCCGAGGAAGGAGAATAAAAGGAAACAAAGGAAGGAAACAATTCTTCCCAACCAACTCAAAAGAGACAGGCAGGCCACGCTGGAGGCAGGGCCGTCTCCACACAAGATGCTCCACGCAAATACAACGGCCCTGGCGGGACAAGGCTCACGCAGTCCTTTTTATTCTCCTCGCAGGAAAAAGTACAATTTCCTGAAGAATAAGTCCAGTGAGACTCACAAGGTCCCCTCCTCGCCTTCGAGGCTGTTTCGAGGGAAGATGTTCATCTCTGAGCCTGCAAACGCCGGGAGGGGGAACCCAAAGGCATTTTTTCCTCTTCCCCAAAGCTGCCGAGTCAGGCGTGCAAAATCTGTATACAATAGAAAGACATGCCGGGCGTACGGTCCATGCAACCTCCAGGTGTAGGAAACTTAAAAAAATATATTCATCTATCTCTATCTATATATTTATATATGTATCAGTGCCCAGAAAACACGTGGGCCCAAAGTCTACAAAAAGAATGGAATGAGCACACGGCTGTGACCGGGGGAGGGGAGAAGGGATGTTCTGACGGAAAGAAACCACCAGGCCGCGGCCACCTGTGCGCGGCCGAGCGCCAAGGCTGGGCTCCTCGGACACAGCTTGAAAAGGAAAGAAAAACCGAATACGTCCACACAGTGGGCCTCTGAGGCCGAAGCCCCGGGCGCCGACGAGGCGGCCAGGCCCTGAGCACGGGGCGGGCGCCCGCGGGGGACGTGGGCACAGGGTGTGGCAGGCAGTCCCAAGGCGGGCGGGCGCCACACACCCGGGGGAACTTGGGGTTGCGCTTAAAAGGATGTAAAGTGCTCACAGATTCGGCCAGTGACCCCAGGTCTCCACAAAGAAAGCAAAAGGCTGAGGCTCCCAGGACCGATAGGGCCGCGGCTAAGGCCTGCCCCGCGCCCGCTGCCCGTGAAGGAAGGCCAGGCGCACAGCAGGGGGAACAGGCCTGGCACCGCCGCCGTGCACATGCGAGAGCTCCGGCTGAACCCGGCGGGGGGCGGGGGAGCCCCGTCATGCCCTCATCTTCCAAGAGATGAGGCACTCCCCTCCCCCCAGTGGCCGTGGGACAGGTGCCGTGTGCAGAGGGCCACAGGCCCCGGCACGGAGACCCTGCGGCCATCTCAGCAGCGCCTGGGCTGAGGCGAGGGGCTGTGCCACCAAACACCCCCAGGCCAACAAATACCCGCCCCCGCGCGGACCAACACTGACCGAGAACTCAGGACTTCAGACTTGTCTGGACAGAGTCCGGCTGGGTTCCATCTACCCTGTAAACGTGAGGGAACTCGGGCGCCCGGCCCGGGGCCCACCGGGCGCCTGACCGCCTGTCCCCGAGCCTGAGCCGGGCCCACTCTGGAATGAAATTGGTGGCTTCAAGTGCTAGAAAATAAGTTCCCAGGAAAGAGTGGCTGTCCGCTGTCAAAGAAAGAGCAAAGCCAGAGCCTGGCTGGGCCGGCAGGCGCTGCAGCTGCGGGCCCGAGACGTGGCATGGCTCCTGCGGAAAGCGCTGGGCCCTGCTCGGGCTGCGCTGCACACAGGCTTCAAAAGTCTTTGGAAAGCTGGAGCCTGAATTCTACCCCCACGCAGAGTGGTTGGAGAGGGCTGCAGGGTTTTCTAACGTGACTGCCTGGCGGCCTGCCCGCACCTGCCCGAGGGAGTGGACACCCTGCTCCTCCTAACGCTACTAGTATGGTGGGCAGCATGGCCTCTGGACAGGGCTGAGAAGTGCCCGCCAAGGCCTGGCTCTGCCCTCCCCCTGTGGCCCTGCCGCGCCACGCCCCTCGCGGTAAAGAAAGGAACCAAACCACACCACAAAAACCTTCCAAGTGAAAAAGGTACAAGCGAAAACTCAGAAAGGAAAAAGGCCTAGAAATGATTACCATTCAGAAAACTGCTAAATGGTGAAGGAAAATGTAAAATTCACAAAACAACGCTTATTTAGGATCTTTTTTGTGTGTGAAAAATTCATACAAAAATCAACAGCAAATTTATATTCTTTGCTATAAAAACTCATTAGGTACATATGTGCATGGAGGTGGAGAGAAGACGGGGCTCTGTTAGAAAAGAACTAAACTTAAAAGTACAAACGGAAGGTGCCTGGGGCAGGGGAGGGGGTCTGAACGCTGACCAGTCGGGACCCCGAAAGACCCAGGGGCTTCAACCTGGATCCTGTACCCTAAGCACCTCAGAGCTAGCTCCCAAGTCCTCTGTCGGCCAGGGACCTTCACAATCTGCATTTATTATATATAGAGAGATATATATACTTTTTCTATAAATGCATTATAAATATTTTATCAAGATCTTGTAAGAATCAAGTTTCTTAGCTTGGAATACATTGGAATATATATTATACATATATATATATATATTTATACCTAAAATTTAAGCAATACTCCATGCTACTTGCTTTTAATAAAAAGCATTCCGATCGCAACACCGCGGTGTGCGGCCACATGCTTACGACCAGGCAGAGATGCTCACTGGCGACATGACGTACGTACGAGCAAAGAACACTTTGGATTCATTTAAACGTGCGGGGCCTCAAGCCCCCAACGGTGTCTGCCACTTCTCTGGAGCGACCTCCATTTCTTCAAACAGCAGTAAAGCCAGACAAGGCCTGCAGCTGCGGCCTGCCCCGAGGCCTGGCCCGAGGCCTGCAGCTGCGGCCTGCCCCGGGGCCTGGCCCACACCGCCTGGCTCCACCCGCTGCAGGGAAATGTCCTTCACTTCCCGCGTATTTATTTAAGGCATTGTCCCTCAGACTTCAGAAAACCCAGCCACAAAAATCCATCAGAGCAATTAAAAAAAAGGCACAAACTCGCATCTTCTGATGGCTTTGAGACGCTCAAGCCGACTTCCAGGCTCACATTGCGGTTTTGTCCAGTTTTTATTTTTAAAAGTCCAACCAGCTCTGCCCTCGACCCAGCGCAGAACCTGTGGCTCACCACTAAGCTCTGCAGGGCAGGCCAGAGCCATAGAAAACTTGGTTTTTTGTTTTGCTTTTCTTTTCTTTTTTTAAAAAAAAAACCTACAAGATGAGTGGTTTACACGGAGACTGTGGAATTGTGGGTAAGAATCAAATGTTAAGCACCAGTTTTAATCAAGTTTGTTTTGTATTATTAGATCTTTGATTTTCACTCTCTTCTTCCTGTCACCAGAACTTGGCAACTCTGCCCAAGTTCCCACAGGCTCCTCCCTTCGTGCTCCCCGAGGGACCGCTGGCGTGTGCTTGGCTTCCGTGTGTCCGTGCGTGTACTCAGGGCACGCAGCCCGTGTTCCATGTACCTGCCATGTACATGCCCGGTGTGCATGTGCGTCTCCAGGCGTCCGGGCCGGGCGGCGGAAGGCTCCCGTGGCCGCGGTGTGCAGGGCGTCCCTTCTTGCTCAGAGGGCACCGCTGCAGGAGGCAGGAGTGACACGGTAAAGTTTCTTGGCTGAGCTTCAAGACAGACAAACAAATGAGAGAACAGCAGCTTCCAGGGCCCCTACAGCGGTGGCTCCTCCTCCATGGGCTCCTCGTCGGGCCTGTGGAGAGAGCAAGGGGCGTGCCGGGGCGCACGGTGGGTCACGCGTGTCCAGCCGGAGCCAAGGCCACCGCGCTTTCTGGAGGGGTGTCCGTGGGTCCCCACGGAGCCCGGCATGGGGCGGGAGGTGTCCCTGCGCCCGGGCAGACCTGCGGGGAGGTGTGGACGCGAGCTCACCTCTTCTCCGCCGGCTTCACGCCCACGGACAGCGAGGCCATGGCGGTGACGGTCTCGGCCTCTTCACTCTCGCACTTCTGCGCCTCCGTCAGAGAATGGCCCACGGTGGAGGCGAGGCGCTGCAGGCAGCGCCAGTGCTTGCCTGGGGAGAGGAAGGCGAGCGGCTGCC